ATAGTTAAATCATCATATTCATCATACGAATTTCAATGGAACTAAGGGGTTCAACAAAAAATTACATTCTTACACATTGTACATCATCATGTTTTGAATGTGTTTCTTTGCTTCTAAGGTGAAGGTCAATTTCATTCGTTTGTTGTTTTTTTGTATATTCCTGGGATAATATCAATATTATTCTTATCAATGAATAATATAAGCTGATGTTTCTTTTAAAGGATCAATTTGAAAATAGATAGATATATCTATTATAAATCAAATTGGATAGAGAATAGTTGTGTTTAAGAGTAAGTTGAAAGAAAATTTAGAAGAAGTGAACCAAGATATTAGATCATACAATGAGTGGAGATGTCTTAGTGACTTTGACAATGTTCACCTAATTACTAAGGTTAAAAGAGAGTTATAAATATGTGTGAAGAATAAGGATTAATATTAACAATTGATGATTTAAGGTTAAGAATTAGATTTAAGATTTTCATCATGAAGAGTGACATAAACTACAATGCTAAAATGCTTTTTTTTTTTTAATCAAAGAGGGTGAATGAATTTTGGATTAAAATCCAAGATCTTAAATCTGATTGGTTCGTTCATAAGTGATAGTTTCGTTGATCATGCCATGAACTCATTGACTGATGACCTCAGGTTTGCTAGCAGATGAAGATTATCTAGTTGAGGTTAGAATGATTATTGTAATCCATGGTTGCAGATTCTGAATGACATAACTTGGAGTTAGTCATAGTGGTGCGGTTATTTCCATTAAAACTAGATGGTGGTTGGAGGTAGTCAACAGGAAACCCTGGACCCGGGTTTCATGCTACTTGGCACTCGTCAGCAAGGTGTACCTGTAATCTCGAGGGAACTGGTGCTCCCTGGCGGATTCGATCTCGTGTCACCCAGCTTCACAGTCAGAGACGTTACCATCGTTTTATTCTGGAAATTTATTGCTCCTCTTCATATCACATATTATCTCTGCCTAATCTTTTCTCTTACCACGGATTATTTCTATACTCTTACACTTGTTTATCTCTATATGTTGATGTAGTAAAAGGGCAACTTGTATTGCTATACATGTGTTAAGCTCTATATTGCTCATGAGCCGCTGTCTGACTGATTAAGGAGATTCATTTCCAGTTTCTGTTATAAAAACCACTTCAGATTTGAGCAAATCTGAAAACTACAGAGGCATCAGACTAATGTCGGTACCAGGGAAAATCTTCAACAGAGTGTTGCTGAACTGGATGAAAGATGCAATAGACGCCCAACTTTGAGATCAACAGGTTGCACATAGTATTTTGGTATAATTGCAATCTTTAACAAATACTATGAGATTTGATAGCTTTGATTTCTTTGGTTACGTCAATTGACTTTTACCCAGTAAATCACATGTTCAAAATTTAAATCAACTATCTGTATGGGGTTGTAGAGCTCGTTGGATTTTATTTAAATAGCAAACCGATCTGACTTAGACAACCATTGAAAACCAGGAGGCACTGAAAAACTATTTTGTCCTAGTATGAGACCCCTCAGCAGTGAGCATTCATGATCCAAATAAAGGTGATCGAACCCGCAAGCTTCGATTTCCTGCGTGAACATATAACGTCTAGACCTTTGAGTAAGCATTCAATGTCTTCGATTGATATATTCCTTACACCGGATACTGATGAACCTTATAGGTCACAACTTGTCACTGGGACTCATAAGTTCAACTACTTGAATTTTGTCATTCAGAAATTATCATTAGCCTTCAAACTCAAATAATATGGCTCACAGCCAAGTGTGTAAATCTGTTCACAGTAAAATATCACGTCATCATCACAGATCTCCTGGTAAACTTGGTGTTAGTTTCTAAGATCTGATTGTTTAAATTAAGGAGCTATTTATATTTCTAGCTTTCTCTTTCCATAGTCTATTTTACTTAGTGTATAACTTTTCATTCTATTTCACTAACTTCTCCGAAATCACAGTAGGACACTGGTAGAAGTACTATATGATTATAATACATTTTCAAAGCAGCTTCTGTCATAACTAACTTTCATATAAGGCGTTGGTTGATGATGAATAACAGGAAACTCTAGACCTGAGTTTCGTGATATTTGCACTTATCAATAAAGTATCTTAATAGTCTTGAAGTAGAGTGATGCTACACATATCATTGGCCATTTCAAAAAGTTTCGTAACTATGTGGTTGTCATTCGTCTAAGTTCAGATGCTGTTGAAGATCAAGAAGAAATGAACAGTTATTTCTCTATAGTCTGAAAATCCTCAAAAGTTCACTCTAAAGACTTCTCCAGGGATTGATTTCAGGCTCTCACATTTGACGCAGAACGATTAATAATTTGAATGACTGGGTCGGTATACAGTGGTACAGTTTCAACCTTGGTGTATTTAAGATATGATACGACGATCATCCTGTTCAACTGTTTCACTCCCAGCATGACTGATTCCCAACAGTCACAATTTCTAATTAGAATTTTAGGGGCATTTCAAAGTAAACCGCTTATGAAATGATCATTATAGTTTAGTTAAAGGAGTGTTTAGGGAAATGATTTAAGTTGAAATTTTCAGGAACCCATCTCATGTGAAGCACCATTAAAATAATCGTCAAAAATCTTTTTAATTAGTTTGTTCCAATCAATTTTAATTTCATTATCATCATGAACCGATCAATATTATACCGCCATTGAAAGCCTAAAGGCTCTAGATGGCCATCTTGTCCTATTTTGAGACTTCCTTACAGTACGCATAAACGATTCGGTACGCAGAAACCAAACTTATGACCTTCGGTTTCACGTGAACGCTTAACTACTAGACGCCATTAAGCCGAACCATATCTAACTTCAATCATTTCCTATTATTTCGGTTGACAACTGCTTTACATCCAACGTGGTTGAATTTGACTAGTTAAGGCTTTCTACCAGAATGTGGATTCACGCTGTTGACATATAGCATACTAGAACGAAACGGTCGTTCATTGTTTTCAGGTTCTCCATGATGTTCTAACATCGATCAATTCATGAATTCAATAAAATTCAATAGTAATTTCATATCTTGTTTAACAGATTTTTCATTGTTATTACTAGGAGGAGGAAAAAAAAGAAGCTAATGACTAGGATTATGGAATTTAACCTAATTTATGGAACTTGATGACTACAAATATGAAGAGGAAGAAATATGTATTTGTTTTTATTTTACACAATTTAATTCACTAATCAGTAGAAAAACAACAAAATATCTAATGTATAAACAACATCATTCTTTTACTTTACGTTTTTCGTTCTTTGTTTCTTACAAAGAAACTGGACGGTTATCATTTAGTTCTGCATTTAACTGGTTGAATCTAGACCACCATAGAGAACCTGGGAGCACTGGACGTCCGTTTCGTCCTAGTATGGGACTCCTCACCAATGCGAATCCACAATTCCGCCCCCCACGAGATTCGAACCCAGGAACTATCAGTCTCGCGCCAGGCGCTTAACCAACTAGACCACCGGGCCGGCTGATATCCTACGGTGTTAATGTCTAACTTCAAGCAATTTACGAAGTTGCGCCACCGTAAAATATATTCATCATAGTGGATATATATTTAATAATTGAATTTATAAGTCAAATGAAGCTAGACAAACATCCTAGTATGGGACTCGTCAATAATTCGCATCTATGTTCCCGCTTCGTGAGATTCAAACAGAGGACCTATCAGTCTCGCGCATGAACTCTTAACCTCTAGATCACTGAGCCAACCGGCATCCAACATTGTTAATGTCTAATTTCAACTTATCCACAAAATTGAACGACACGTTCACCATTGTCATCAGTGAGTTACTATTTCACAACAAACCCAGGTTGAATTCCACTGATCACAGCTTCACACTAGAACTCCAAGAAATATCTCTTGAAGCCAACCACTAGTGAGCATATGATGATTATAATCAGAGAAGGGTTCTTATGGATATTATAGTAATTGAGTCAAATGAATGTTATTTATTTATTTAAACACATAAACATCGGTACAAGGAGGTACCAAGTAGATATGCGCCACATAAATCATTCGATTTGTGTGAGGGCTGTGATACTGCCCGGGTTTCCAGACCGAAGCAGGTGATCTTCTTAGGGGGGGGCACGCTTTTTTTTACAGTTATATAATATACCCTTGTGGGCCAGAGTAATTTTACATTGGTTTTCAGGAGAACCAGACACCATCCGAACTTTCACGTGACAACCCAAACAGTACAGCTCAATCTCGTTTCGCAGGAGATCCAGACACCGTATAGGCTTTAACGCTACAATCTGAATAGTACAGCTCAATGCTGTAGTGCAATCACACAGGTACTCAGTACCCTGATGGACCACAATTGAATCTAGACCATCATAGGAAGCCTGGAAAGGCTAGACGGCTCTTTCATCCTATTATATAGATATCATGTTTCAACCAATCATAATCCTGTGACCTTGTCATATTTTTAAAACTAGATACATTAGTCATAAGATTGGAATGTTCTTTCCATTAATGCGTGTGTGTGTGTGTGTGTTGATGGATAGACAGACATCTCCCCTCCAAAAATAGATAGATTGATAAACAGATCAACTTTATGCTGATTGGTTATTTTCATATTTTTTTTATTGTTGTTGTTGTTGTTGACTGACTGACTGATTTTTTGTGTCAATAATGTTGAACGAACTACCGGTTTTATTCTTTACTTTTTTTTGTTGTTGTTGTCGTCGGTTGTTTATTCTTTCTTTCTTCATTGATATTATCATCATGAGAAAAGTGTTACATCATAATGGATGAGGATGATAATAATAATAAAACAATTTGGGAATCATTTATTATGAATAATTGAAAAGAAATGAGATTTTTTGCTGTTGTTTTGTTGCCATGACAATATCCTAGTTACTATGATTTCTATTTCATATACATCTTGAATAAAATAATGATGACATTCATTCATATTGGTGAATATTTATTTTCATTCATTTTATTCATTCAATTCTATGGAATGATGATGATGATAAGTTATGGTGAAATTGTCAAGTCTAATATGATATTACATAATCATAGTCAAAATAATCTCTCTACTATTTATATGATTCATAATGATACATTATTATTACATAATGATCATTTACAAAATGAATCTTTTACATTAGATCAATTCAATCATAAATCTAATGATCCTGATCCTGATCCTGATCCTGATCCTGATCCGGATCCTGATCATAATCATAATGAACAATGGTATTTTCATTTTGATATGTTTATTATTACATTTTTAGGTTTTAGTTCATTTTGTGCAAATATTGGCTTATTATATTTAGATAGACGAGCTAAACCATCATGTACAACAAATAATTCAAGTTTTTCTAATAATTTCATAACAATTAATACTACTAATAACAATACTACTAATAGTAATAATAGTAGTACTAATTTTCCTATGCATAATATCGCTAGTAATAATAATCTAAAATGTTCATCATTCAACTTTCTATATAAAAAATGGTCACATAAAAGAAATTCTCATGAATCTAATGGTTTACTATCTAATCAATCATCAATAATAACAATACCAAATGAGACAATGAATAAAATGACCATTCCAAATACAACTACAACAATATCATCATCAACATCATCATCAACAACAAAACGTTCATTTTCTGTATCAAATCCTCCATTAAATAAATATCCATCATCAATTAGTTTATTGAAATTTAATCATCATCCTTATCATCATGGTTCAATTCATTATCATACACCACGTAGTCGTAGACAACGTCGTTATTTAAGAGGTTTACTTGGTTTATCTATAAGTAATTTAAGTTTATCTATATGTTTACTTAGTTGGTGTATATGTCAAATTATTATATATAATATTAATGAACAATATTATATATTAAATGCATGGTTAACAATTATATCATTAATTAATATATGGACTATAGATATTGCACAAACATTAGAAATTGGTGCCATTTTATGGATTGCATTAGAACGTACACTTGGTATACATTGGCCTAGTGAAATACAAACTATGAATAACAATAATAATAATAATAATAATAATAATACAAAGCTTTCAATGAAATGTAATCTAATCCAATGTAAATTTTCATTGTTAAAAAATATTCTTAAAAAATGTACATCACATAATCATTCTTCTTCTTCTTCTTCTTCTTCTTCTTCTCCTTCTTCTTGTTGTCGTTGTACACCTTTATTCATGAATCAATCATCATCATCAGCCTCAGCAACAACATCACCCTTAGCAACAACAACAATAAATAAAAAATATCGTGAAAAACAAAAATCAATAATTTGGTTTCTTCGTGTTATTTTATGTTTATTACCATTAATTTTATTTATATTAGCATCAATTTATAGTTTAATGAATATAATACAACAAATTAAAAAACAGAAATTATTATATCATCAACAATTACAACATGAAATACAACAACCCCAACCCCAACCCCAACAACAACAACAACAATATCAAATTGATATTATATCAAAACTGAAAACTACTTATATTACACATAATAGTAGTATAAATAATGATCATCATCATCATAATAATAGTTATATACAATATTTTAATTCATTAGTAGTATATAATTATTATATTTATATTACTAATAATTTCTTTACTAAAAAGCATACATACTTATTCTTACATAAAATTCATATTAAATATCAAACTTATATGTATTATACTAAATCTATTATACCAGCATTAATCATTGGACAATTTTTAGCACCATTAGCGATTTTAATTACAACAAATTTATTGATTTATCAAAAAGTAAGTTTTCTTTTTGTTTTACTTTATTATTGTTGAATTGTGTTGAACTATTTCATATACTTGGTGTTCACAATTGATTGGTCACTGGGTGGGTGGTGGGTGAGTAATATCATGTGTGTCAAATCGTTCTTGGTGTACATCGAATGCTATTGACCAAGTTGTAATGTGGTCACTAATCTAGATGACTTGATATTGTGTGCATTATGTTGAGATAGAATGGTAGTTAGAAGTAGTCAACAGGAAATCCTGAGTGATGTGTACCTGTAATCTTGAGGGAACTGATGCTCCCTGAGAGATTTGATCCTATATCACCCAGCTTCACAGTTAGAGATGTTACCACTGAGCTATCCGAGCCGCGACTGACCTTCTGTACGACTGAGATGTATTCATAATTGATTGATCTCTGGGCGGTGATCAATGTCATGTGTGTCAAGTCCTTCTTAGTGCAGATCGAATCCGTCAGAGAGCACCAGTTCCCTCAAGATTACAGGTACACCTTGCTGACAAGTGCCAAATAGCACGAAACACGAGTCCAGGGTTTCCTGTTGACTACCTTCAACCAGTATTTACTTATGGTTGTTTTACTTGTATCTTCACATTGCTATATAGGAATGTAATTGATCCGTCCCATGTTAGCAATATATGTGCATCCTATGCGAATTGTCTCTACATAGCCTTAAGTCTTAAGCTTTTTAAGCAAAAATGGATAACAGTTAGCAGTGAAATCTGGAACAGAGTGAACATCAACAAGTCTAGGATGCAGGTACATTCAGCTGACGAGTCCCAAATAGAATGAAATGCACGTTTCAAATTCAGACAATAGTTATAATTAGTAGTTGTTGATATTAACATTGATATTATCTTACTTCTTTTATTTTCAGTTATATCATTTGGGATATTGACTAATTCTTTACGAAGTATATCATCTGTGTTTAACTATAATCATCGATACTAAATCTATCAATCTGGGATTTGTCTTGATAATTTCACTTTATTTAGGTGACTGATAATAAGTAACAACTCTAGTCGATGTACAAATGAACCGAGTCTTGTTAATGACTAATTAAAACTAAATTTACATATTTTTTATCAGAATGGGGGGTTTGTGAAGATTATAGTGATAGAAAAGTTAAATTCGTGGGCTGATTAAAGTTAGACCACCATAGAAAATCTGGAAGTACTGGAAGACGGTCTCGTCCTATTATAGGACTCTTCAGTAGTGCACATTCACGATCCCGCTTACGGGATTCGAACCCAGAACCTCCGGTCTCGCCCGCTAACCCTTAGCCAGTGGAGTTCAACCGTGTCTTTTGTGAGGCAGTGACTCACTGAAGACAATGATAGACGGTCGTGAAATTTCGTGGATTAGTTGAAGTTAGACGTTTACACCGTTGGTGGTCTAGAGGTTAAGAGTTCACATACGATACTAAATGTCCTGGGTTCCAGTCCGATGTGTAGGATCGTGAATGAGAACTGGTGAAGAGTCCTATAATAGGACGAAACAGCCGCTCGAAGCTTCCAGATTTTCCATTGTGGTTTAGCATCTAAATTACTAGCCTCAATAATTATCGGACGCTTAACAAAGACTCATGGACTGAAGACACGAGAAAACCAGGATGGCACCAAACCTAGTCGTGGCTGCATCGACCACATGTTCACCATCCGTCAGATTCTAGAATACAGTTACATGTATCGGCGTCCGATAATGATAGTTTTTCTCGAATTAAAAGTGGCATTTAACTCTGTGGACCGAGAGGTTCTGTGGCAAAGTCTGTCATTGAAAGGTGCACCTCAGAAGTACACAAACCTTGTGAAGGAACATTACTCGAACACTATCATTCGAGACAGACCTTCTGGAGAACCATCATCTGATTCGGCAACTTCAAGTAGTGTCCGTCAAGGGTGTCAACTGTCTCCACTTTCGTTCAACTTCATCATAGAAATACTGATGGAAATAACGCTCTCGTCGATTGACTTTTCGTGCATTGATCTCATTCCAGGAACTACACTTATCGACTTAGAATACACAGATAAAATAGTCCTGTTTGGCGAAGACTCTGATAAAATATACAGTCTTTTGATGGCATTGAGCAACAATGCTAGGATGTTTGCAGTGCGTTTCTCCTCCACTATATGTAAGTTGCCACTTCAGAACTGGCCTGCATCAACACATGAACTAAAGATAGGGACTAAAGTAGTCGAACGCATTGATAAACTTCACCTATCTTTGAAGTCTGATCAGCCTCAATGTGTTGGTGTCTGATGAAATCTCTACACGGATTCGATAACCTCGTCTGAATTTTGCCAATTTGCGTCACCTATGGCGAACGTGAGCTATCCGTCTATCAATTAGAGAACGAGTATACTGCGCACCAGTTCGTTCTGTTCTACTTTACGGCAGCGAAACGTGACCATTAAGAGTACAAAATACTCGTAAGTAACTCGTATTTGATGACGGATGTCTTAGAAATATTGCTCGCATCTGCTAGGATCATCGGATAAGTAATAGTGAGGTTTGACGCAAGGTATTAAGGAATGATGGTAAATCAGTTGATGAGGTTGTGAATCTTCATCGACTGAGATTGTTGGACCGCGTATTACGCATGTTCAACTACCGAATACTACGGCACGCAATGTTGACTAGTGTTGGAGACGGTTGGAAGAAAGTTAGAGGCAGACAAACTAAAATATGTCATCAGTCCTTGAAGTCATCAAATTCTGGTCTTAGTCATGTTGGTAGATGCAGACTACTTGATTGGGGTCCATGCGACCATCGTAACCAGTAGTGATTGGAGACTATGGGTGACATGGCTCAGAATCGATCACAATGGCGTCGGTTTATACACTCTCTGTCTACCTTAAAACTGTGCGATTAAAGTCGCTTCATATCTTTGTTTCTACAAACTAATTCTTTCTTCCTGTACTATATCCTTATATGCAATCTTTCTTTTATATATTACTACCATTGAATTAACTTCTCCTATGAATTTGGTGTTCATCTTATTGTGTTAATGTGGTATGGTAACTTGAACCTGGTCTTATGTTGTATCCGACTGATTGTATTCTCATAATCTATATTTCACGTAATAAATTAATCCATCATCCATATTAACTCTCAATTGGGTAGATGTAAACTTCTTTCTTTTTTGATCAATTTTGTTCTCTTCTTTTAAACATTGTAAGAGAATAAACTGAACTATTATTCCCGTTTTTTTTTGTTCTAGATTATAACACGCATTGAAAGTATTCAAATAACTGTTGAGACCCTGGAATCACTAGACAATTGTTTGTTTTTTTCTATCATAGGAGACTTTAATCGAGTGTATCCCCTACCTTTATCAATAATTGAATCTGATACATTTAAGTATTGCGTGTTAGCTTTTAACCTGTTGAATATTGATTATCTATTTGATTGTCTATCGAAAAATCAATACACAATGTAATCACTAAAATCTTTCTATAGTAATATGATTTAATATCAGAAGGGGTTTAATGGAGATTGTAGTAATTTCAGTTGTTGAGATCATGAGTCAGTTGAAGCTAGATCACCATGAAAAACCTGAAAGCACTGAACGGCCGTTTCGTACTATTGTGGGACTCCTCAGCAGATGTACATTCTTCAAGATGTATATCTTGGAGTTCTAGTGAGAAGTAATGACCAGTGGAGTTCAAATGGGTCTGTTGTGAGATAATAACTAGCTGATGGAAATTGTGGATGTGTCGCTCAATTTTTTGGATGAGTTGAAATTCGACATTAAAACCGTTGGATGCCGGCCGGCTCAGCGGTCTAGTGGTTAAGTGCTCGCGCGCGAGACCGGTGGGTCCTGTGTTTGTGTCCAAAGAGGTGGGACCGTGGTTCTGTACTGCTGAGGAGTTCCACAATAGGATGAAACGGCCGTCCAATGCTTTCACGTTTCCCATGGTGGTCTATCATCAATTGACTTATGATTTCAATCTGTGATATAATGATGTGTTAAAATTAACAATAGAAACAGATATCTTGTTGAAATATTTAGATGTCAGGAATATGTAGCCTAGATATTCAAGCAGGCTGTCAAAGTTTAGTGTACAACAATAAGCTATCATAACTCCATTAAGCATGTCTATAATTGAATCAAAGCTAGACAATCTCTTGAAAAGTTTATTATTAATCACTTCAGGTAGTTTCCTCTTATTGTACTCCACATATTGTTTCTATCTCTATTTATTTATTTACTTAAACATAAAATATTGGTACAAAGAGGCACCAAATAGATATGCGACACATAAATCATTCGATTTGTGTGATGTCTGGGATACTATTCGGGTGCCTAAACTGAATTAGGTGGTTTTCTTAGGGGTTCACACTCAGGGCCTTTGACCTAAAAGTCTAATCCACAAGGTAGTGAAAAAACGTCAGGAGATGCAGTCCCATGGTAGCCGGTGACCAATAATTGCTTCATACGCTATTTATTCCTTCAGAATACTGGATCCCATGTGACCATTGTTTTGGAATGAGGGTTTTCCAACTCCGCCAGGTGAACTCTCCGTGTCCACCAACCCGGTTAAAGCACCGGACATTCGCTTTTCATCCTCTCAATTTCGTAAACAACACCCGTGGTGTGAGAAGGCAGTAGTTGTATACACGTGGCCATATGAAAGCATTTCGAGAGTGAGAGCCGTCTTTTCCCCCTGTAGGCCCTACCAGAGTACTTAAGTGTACTGCTATTCACCAAAATAATTTACAATCTGGTCAGTTGGCGATATTAAGATGTTTCTTTTCATAAAAAAAGACAATAGATAATTCATCTGTGTTAATATTGTTTTCATATGTCTTGTACACTATGAAAGATTGTCCTTGAATAAAGATGTAGAATAGTTAAAAGTACTTTATAATTTTGATTTAGTACTTGATTCAATCAAATTAGGCAATCACAAGACTGTTTAATGATTATCCATTTTTGAAATATCATTCAGTACATAACCAATAATGTTTATCTTACAAAATTCAGTGTATATTC